ATATTATTGTATTTGTGTTACTATAAAATCAATTGTACCATCCAAATTGGTTTTTGACTTGCTTGGTAGCAAGGATTCCCTTTTTACTCCACTTTTAGGTGATCCATGAGTGTCTCCTCATGGGCAGCCTGGCCAGCTGGATCTGGTATATTCCTATCTCAGGTTGCACAATACCTTCATCCTTCAATAGCAATCCAACTGTGTGGGCTTTTCTTGGGTCGCAACCTTTCACAGTACAATGGATGAGTCCAGCCAGCAGCAACATGTTTAGGGACCTGCAAAGATTCAGTTCAGTGGTGATTCAATTGTCTTTCCTTCCCCACTGTGCAGGAAGCCAGTTTCTGTTCTTAGGAAGCCAGTTTTTATTCCATTTACACATTCATCTCAGTATTTCTCTAAATGTGCTTGTTCTGTACTTTCACCTTTGAACTGGTTATAGTATCTTCCTGAGCCCCTGGTTAATAATGGGTTAAAGACTACCTTTATATGCGTTCAGTTTGTTTCTGTATGAGTCATGATTGTAACTTAAAAATAATTATCTTTCTTGAAAAGCTGGGAAATGGTAGGTTCAGCATTATCTGTAACAACTTAGCTGTTGTTATGATGCCACTATATCTTTCTCTTCCTCACCTTGCTTAAAATGGTACCTTCTAGGTCCATTCATGTTGCTGCAAATGGCATTATTTCATTCTTTTTATGGCTGAGTCATATTCCACTGTATGTGTGTACCACATCTTCTTTATCCATTTCTCTGTCTATAGACATTTAGATTGTTTCCATGTCTTGGCTATTGTGCATAGTGCTGCTAGGGGTGAATGTATCTTCTCTATTATACTTTTGTCTGAGTTTACACACAGAAGTGGGATTGCTAGGTCATATGGCAGCTCTAGTTTTAGTTTTCTGAGCATCCTCTGTACTATTTTCCACAGGGGCTGTACCAATTTACATTCCGACCAGCAGTGTAGGAGAGTTCCATTTTTCCACATCCTCTCCAGCATTTGTTGTTTGTTAGACTTTTTAATGATGGCTATTCTGGCCAGTGTGAAGTGGTACCCCATTGTAGTTTTGATTTGCATTTCTCTGATACTTAGCGATGTTGAGCCTCTTTTCACAGGCCTGTTGACCATCTGTGTATTTTCTTTGGAGAAACATCTGTTTAGGTCCTCTGCCCATTTTTGGACTAGGTTGTTTTTCTGTTATTGATGTTGGATATGATGCTACTATGGGCAATAGAATGCAAATATACAATATGATTAAAACTGCATTTAATGTTCATAAGAATAGAAGACTGGAAAAGATATGCCAGAGTATATTAGATTGCTTGGTATTTTTCTTTATCATATTTTCCACAAAACTTTACATATGATTACCTTTGTTACAGAAGTCCAGTGAGGCTCCAGTCTGATTCTCTGTTTTATTGATGGAGTAATGATTGTTTTTGGATCATCGGGGGCTGGAAGAAAGGGTATCCTGTTCTCTGCACAGCTAATTGAATCAGCATTGAGTTCTACTGGGGAATGAGAAGGGCATATGATAAAACCAATAATACAGTAATGAGTATGTATACTGTTCCAGGAATTGCGCTAAGCAGTATGTAATTTAACCTCACAACAGCAGTGTCTAATCAACAGTACCTGTACTGATGGGTACTCTTAGTATTTCCATCTTACAGATGAGGAACTGAACAAGTTAGGAAACAGAAGCTTAGGTAACTTGCCTAACTGTATGTAGTGAAGCAGGAATTAAAACTCAAGAGTTGAACTTGCTACCCTGCATCCCGTGAGAAGCAGCTGGAAAGGAAATTCTGGGATCCCCTTTTGAAAACTCACCCCCACTACTGAATCCAAGCTCTCCAAATCAGTCATCTGGGAAACATTTCCTGAACCTCCTCTGGGCCCCAGGGCCTGAGCATGAGACGTGGCTGAGAGTTCCAGTAACTCCTGAGCTCAGGTGAGCTGGGGGGTGGGGGCAGAAAGGAAGCAGGAAGGGAGCATCAAGGAAGGGCACCCCAAGGGCAGGGGTGCTTCCAGGAGGAGGTGACAGCCAGCTTGAGTCTGGAAGGAGGGCAGAGCCTGCCTGGTAAAGGGGGCATTCATGACAGAACAGCCAGGGCAGAGAGGTAACAAAGACATACCAGAGAAGCACAGCAAAGACACCCATTCTAGGGACTTCCCTGGTGGTCCAGTGGCTAAGACTCCACATTCCCAATGCAGGGAGCCTGGGTTTGATCCCTAGTCAGGGAATTAGATCCCACACGCTGCAACTAAGAGTTTGCATGCCACAAGTAAAGATCCTTCGTGCCGCAACGAAGATAGAAGATCCCATGTGCTGCAGCTAAGACCCAGTGCAACCAAATAAATAAAAAATAAATATTAAAAAAGATACAGATTCTAGCACTGCTGTCCCCTACCTCCAGCACCCCTCCCTGGTTACAGAAAGCCATTTTGTCCAGTGGAAAGGTGGGCATCTGAACATGCCAATCAGATCCCATTTTTCTTCAGGATGTTTGGACTTGGGTCAGCTCACCCCTCCTCTAGGGCTAAGGGTGTAAGATGCAGCCTGGAACAGGTTGAGGTGGTGAAGTGCAGAGGGCATCTGGAGAGTGGGACCAGGCTGTACCAGGTCTGAGTGAGGCCCTACGCATCCCTACAGTCCAGCCGTCCAGCCGTCCAGCCAGCATGGGATTCCATGCCACATGCCAAGTCATCTTAATCCCAGTCTCGTTTCTTTTAGATGGTCCACATTGGGTTTCTGTCACCTGTAATGAAAGATCCTTGCCTGACAGTCTCCAAGTCAGACTGAGGATAGGGTTATTCTAGCTGACCCAGCAAGGCTGACCTATAGATCAGGAAACCAATGATTCATTTCCTGGGAAAAATTCAACTGTTCCTTGGATCAGCCTTTCAAGTCATTACTGCTGCTGGCTCATTCTGGAGAAAAAGCACCTGGATTGACTACTGGAACCCTCCTGATGAGCAGGCCCCAGTGCCAGCGGTGATTTTTGCAGCTAGTGGCATCAGGTTAGGATTGCGCAGGAGTCGGCAAACAGTTGCTGTTGATGCTAGATAGTAACCATCTTAGGCTTGATCACAGTTATTCACTTCTGCAGCCCAAACAGCCAGAGACAACACATAAATGAATGAGCGCAGTCAGTTTCCAAAAAAGTTTTATTTATGGACACGGAAATTTGAATTTTATATAATGACCCTGTGTCTTGCTGTATCATTCTTCTTTTGATGATTTTCCTTTAAGAATGTAAGTGCCATTCTTAGCTCTCAGACCAAGCCAAAACAGGCAGCAAAGAGCCAGGTTTGACAAACTACTCTCCTAGGGCATGAGCCCTCATGCCAAGAAGATGTCCGTCAAGGAGACTGGGCAGTTGGATCAGGCCAGGAGTACTGCTGGGACCACAGCCCAGGCTTGTTACACTGGAGTCCTCTTCTCTCCAGTCAGTCAGACCACCCTCTTCAGTCAGCACCCTCCTGTAGGCAAAGCGTAGGACCCATAGATGGGCTCAAGTGCCTAGAGATGATGACGCTTCCAGCCTGGCTTCCCAGACTGCAGCCCCGGGTAACCTGGATGCAGCTGCTCCCCGTGCTTCTAGGAGTGTCTGTCCTGTCCCAGCCCCTACGAGAAGCAGGTCATTTAATTCATCCACGCCACCCTGAACAACCGAGGGACCTGGGTGGGCTGCCTGCCAGAGGCATGGCAGGGTAGTCTGTGACTTGGGGCCTGGCTTGAAAACATAGGCTAGCTTTGGGGAGGGGTCTTAAAAGACCCAGAGGAAGCTGCAGTTCCTGTTGGGCTCTAGAGCTGGAGGTTGGGTAGACTCAGGGGCTGGGGTAACTGCAAGTGGCCAAGTGCCAGCTGAAGTTATGGGGGAGTAGAGATTGTGAGTGAGGAAAGAGGCTGGGTAGGAAGAGAAACAGTGGGGGCCACAGAGACAGACACAGACTGGCTAGCAGAGTGACACAGCAGCTGCATCCCAGAATTGCCCCCGTGCTGGCCCGGCCCCAACTTGACTAGGGGACTTCACCGTATCTTCACAGCCACCATCCTGCCTTTCCTGCAGTAAATCCCAACATTTTTCCTAGGTGACCCCAGTACATTGCTGAAACCGAAAGCAGTGGCTGAGCATTTGAGTGGCCATTTCTGGGGCAGGCTGGGCTCCTCCCTTGCACTCTGACTTGACGATTTTACTCTTAGAGGGAGCTTTCAACTTCAGGTTGGGGTCACCTTGCTGTCTTAATTATCTGCAGGTTGGAATTTTGCCTCAGGCACTGAAACCCATAGATGCATGACCTGGGCCTCACTACCCTCACCTCTTAAGTGGCCCTCCTGCAGCCTGTTCCATTAGGACAGCGTTGAACTTTATCTGAGTACTGTACTCCTGAAAGGCAACTGTGGTTAAGAAATTCCCCCACCCCTTTAAGTTCTGGGGAAACAGGGCTACTTTGCTCTCACATGTTCCAAGAAAACAACCCATCTACACCTCTTGCTATTCCCACGAGACAGGCTGATGACTTCCTAGTTTCCCTGCCTCTCTAAAACCTCAGGCCCCTTCCTTTTCTTTGAGAGGGTTCTCATGAATGAACCTTTTCCCTACTGCAACAGCCTAAATAAAATCTCCATCATTGCCTGGTGCCTTTTGCTTAAAAGATGTCGAGAAGTTGTTGTAAGCATCTGTTGGGTGGGGCATCTGGAGTCCCAGGTTCCAGTCCTGGTTCACCCAGGCCTGGCTTCCCCTTCTGCCAGGTTCCAGTAACGGGCTAAGGGCCCGTTACTTTGAGGATGTGAGTGGCAGCTCAGCCCCTGTAGGGGGAGGCGGGGCCTACAGAGCAGCTGTAATATTTGCACGCGGCCACTAGAGGGCGGCGGCTCCGCGGAAGAAGGCCGTGGGCGCTGCACCCGCTCGCTGCTGCAAAGGCTTGAAAATGTGCTTAGGAAGGGGGACGCCAGGCAGCGTCTTCAGCCCTTAAGTGCTTTTCCATGCTACACACCGCTGCACTCCAGGCACTTCTTTTTTGCTTCTGCCTCCAGAGAGTCCTCGGCCGCCGATGTCAGTCGGAAGACTCGAGTGAGCTGGAGGGGGCCCAAAAGCCAATCTCGAGCTTCTGGACGTCCAGCGTTTGCCTGGGGACCGTGATCCTTGCCTTTCTGCGGCCCTCTGGCCCTCTTCTCTACTCCAGACAAGTTGAAGAATCCCTCAGGCTGCAGGGAAATCGGGAGGAAAGGCAGAAGGGAGGAGCCTGAAGAGCACTGCTTTGCGGGCTGCACTTAACCAGCCACAGCCATCAGCAACTTGGAGCATCACAATGTCCCCTTCACGTGGGCAGGCAAGAGCTGTTACCCCATCCGAAGGGCGGGGAAACGCTCCCGCAGAGAAAAAGCCGTTAGCCCCTGGTCTTACAGCTAGTAGATGGCAGAAGTAGGACAAGAACTCAGTTCTGCAGGCCTTAAACCCAAAGCTCATGGGGCGGCCAGGCACGGTTAGAAATGGCTCGTCACTTGACAAAATTAAACTGGGCCACAACAGCAGAAAGGGGCCCTGGACATCCCCTAGCGTAGAAACCAAAAGACTGTGGCTGAAAGGGCTCAAATTGTCAAATTTTAAGTACTGACTTGGTAAGACGATCACGTTTGCTTTTTCAGTTGTATATGTCTACAGACAAAATTGAAAAACAAATATAAATACCAAAGCCAAATATAAATTAAAAGCAAATATAAAACAGCCCTACTATCCACAGTGGACTGTCTCTGTCTCTGGTGATTGGAATAGCAATAGTGGGAAGAGGGTTTTCATTTTCTCTGTATTGCTCAAATTATTCGTTACTCACATATATAAACTAGTAAGGAGAAGAATGGCTGAGTATTTCTGTTTGATAAAAAGTAATACCTCTTTATTAAAGAGTTAGAAAGTACAAAAGAGCATGAAGAAATTCATCAGTGACCCTCCTTCTTCCCTATAGAAGAGGGAAACACTGATGTCTTTCTTTCTAGTTGGTTTCTTTCTCTACAAAATGTGAACAACAGTATTAACTGTAGAGAAATGTGAAGATTGAGGGACAGGATGTATATAATAGCTAATGTTCCAGAAGTGTTTGCCATATATATATAACAAAATTAGCACCACTGTATATATATTTTTATATGCTGCTGTTTTCACTTATAATGTTGCTTCATGAAAGTTTCTCATGTCAACTTTTCTTTTAAAATTATATTTTTAGTGATTGCACAAAATTTCACTGTATTTAAGTACAGTTTATTTAACCTATCCCCGATTGTTGAACCTTTAGATAGTTTCCAATTTTTGCTATTAAAATAACAGTGAGATTAACATCTTTAAACATCTCTCCTTGTCAGCATTTCTGATTACTTCCTTAGATGGATTTCTGGAGGTAGGATTACTGGGACAAAGGGTGCAAATATTTTTCAGGCTTTTGATTCAGGTTACCAGATTGCTTCCCAGAAAGATCTTGCCAATTTACACTCCCACCTGCAGTGTGTGAGAATGCCTGTCCCACGGCACATAAAGGAGGGATTTTTTGGGGATGGGTGAGATTTGATTATGTTGCTGGTCTGAGGAGAAGGAGCCCTGTAGTGAGGGAGGGTTTCAATTTCAGGAGAGAGAGGATGTCTAAAGGAGTGGGGTCACTGGGAGAGAGGGATGGGGTTTTGAAGCACATTTACAAGAATTATCTTGGATTTAAGAAGGGACATCTCGTTCTCTGAGACAAGTAGAAAGAGGTGTGATTGGCTTTGGATATGGAGTCTCTGTAAGTAGGTAAGGTGAGACACAGGAGAGCTAGTCTCTAGGAGTCCCCTTGGCTCAATAAAGTAGGAGGCTGAGTCACTTATTCAAATGTGAAAGGTGAGGGCCAAGGAGGAGACTTGAGGTGGGGTGAGGGATGCCTTATCCTTTTGCTTTTCACACTGTTCATGGGGTTCTCAAGGCAAGAACACTGAAGTGGTTTGCCATTCCCTTCTCCAGTGGACCACGTTCTGTCAGCCCTCTCCACCATGACCCGACCGTCTTGGGTGGCCCCACACGGCATGGCTTAGTGTCACTGAGTTAGACAAGGCTGTGGTCCTGGGATCAGATTGGCTCGTTTTCTGTGACTATGGTTTCAGTCTGTCTGCCCTCTGATGCCCTCGCAACACCTACCGTCTTACTTGGGTTTCTCTTACCTTGGACGAGGGGTATCTCCTCACGGCCGCCCCTCCTGATCTTGAACGTGGTGTAGCTCCTCTCGGCCCTCCTGCGCCAGCGCAGCCTCCGCTCCTTGGACATGGGGTTGCTCCTCTCGGCGGCCGCCCCTGACCTCGGGCATGGGGTAGCTCCTCTCCGCCGCGCTTTTGTGCGGTCTGTCGTAGCCGCCACGTAGGTGCCCAATATGCTACTGGAGATCAGTGGAGAACTAACTCCAGAAAGAGTGAAGGGATGGAGCCGAAGCAAAAACAATACCCAGTTGTGGATGTGACTGGTGATAGAAGCAAGGTCCGATGCTGTAAAGAGCAATATTGCATAGGAACCTGGAATGTTAGGTCCATGAATCAAGGCAAATTGGAAGTGGACAAACAGGAGATGACAAGAGCGAACATTGACATTCTAGGAATCAGCAAACTAAAATGGACTGGAATGGGTGAATTTAACTCAGATGACCATTATATCTACTACTGTGGGCAGGAATCCCTTAGAAGAAATGGAGTAGCCATCATTGTCAACAAAAGAGTCCGAAATGCAGTACTTGGATGCAATCTCAAAAATGACAGAATGATCTCTGTTCATTTCTGAGGCAAACCATTCAATATCACAGTAATCCAAGCCTTTGCTCCAACCAGTAATGCTGAAGAAGCTGAAGTTGAACAGTTCTATGAAGACCTACAAGACCTTTTAGAACTAACACCCAAAAAAGATGTCCTTTTCATTATAGGGGACTGGAATGCAAAAGTAGGAAGTCAAGAAACACCTGGAGTAACAGGCAAATTTGGCCTTGGAGTATGGAATGAAACAGGGCAAAGGCTGATAGGTTTTGCCAAGAGAACACACTGGTCATAGCAAACGCCATCTTCTAACAACATAAGAGAAGACTCTACACATGGACATCACCAGATGGTCAACACTGAAATGAGATTGATTATATTCTTTGCAGCCAAAGACGGAGAAGCTCTATACAGTCAGCAAAAATAAGACCGGGAGCTGACTATGGCTCAGATCATGAACTCCTTATTGCCAAATTCAGACTTAAATTGAAGAAAGGGAAAACCACTAGACCGTTCAGGTATGACCTAAATCAAATCCCTTTTTATACAGGGATTATACAGTGGAAGTGAGAAATAGATTTAAGGGACTAGATCTGATAGACAGAGTGCCTGATGAGCTATGGACGGAGGTTCGTGACATTGTACAGGAGACAGGGATCAAGACCATCCCCATGGAAAAGAAATGCAAAAAAGCAAAATGGCTGTCTGAGGAGGCCTTACAAACAGCTGTGAAAAGAAGAGAAGCCACAAGCAAAGAAGAAAAGGAAAGATATTCCCATTTGGATGCAGAGTTCCAAAGAATAGCAAGGAGAGATAAGAAAGCCTTCCTCAGCGATCAATGCAAAGAAATAGAGGAAAGCAACAGAATGGGAAAGACTAGAGATCTCTTCAAGAGAATTAGAGATACCAAGGGAACACTACATGCAAAGATGGGCTCAATAAAGGACAGAAATGCTATGGACCTAACAGAAGCAGAAGATATTAAGAAGAGGTGGCAAGAATACACAGAAGAACTGTACAAAAAAGATCTTCATGACCCAGATAATCACGATGGTGTGATCACTCACCTAGAGCCAGACATCCTGGAATGTGAAGTCAAGTGGGCCTCAGGAAGCATCACTGTAAACAAAGCTAGTGGAGGTGATGAATTTCCAGTTGAGCTATTTCAAATCCTGAAAGATGATGCTGTGAAAGTGCTGCACTCAATATGTCAGCAAGTTTGGAAAACTCAGCAGTGGCCACAGGACTGGAAAAGGTCAGTTTTCATTCCAAATCCCAAAGAAAGGCAATGCCAAAGAATGCTCAAACTACCGCAGAATTGCACTCATCTCACACGCTAGTAAAGTAATGCTCAAAATTCTCCAAGCCAGGCTTCAGCAATACGTGAACCGTGAACTTCCAGATGTTCAAGCTGGGTTTAGAAAAGGCAGAGGAACCAGAGATCAAATTGCCAACATCCATTGGATCACTGAAAAACCAAGAGAGTTCCAGAAAAACTTCTACTTCTGCTTTATTGACTATGCCAAAGCCTTTGACTGTGTGGATCACAATAAACTGTGAAAAATTCTGAAAGAGATGGGAATACCAGACCACCTGACCTGCCTCTTGAGAAACCTGTATGCAGGTCAGGAAGCAACAGTTAGAACTTGACATGGAACAACACACTGGTTCCAAATAGGAAAAGGAGTATGTCAAGGCTGTATATTGTCACCCTGCTTATTTAACTTATATGCAGAGGACATCATGAGAAACGCTGGGCTGGAAGAAGCACAAGCTGGAATCAAGATTGCCTGGAGAAATATCAATAACCTCAGATATGCAGATGACACCACCCTTATGGCAGAAAGTGAAGAGGAACTAAAAAGCCTCTTGATGAAAGTGAAAGAGGAGAGTGAAAAAGTTGGCTTAAAGCTTAACATTCAGAAAACTGAGATCATGGCATCTGGTCCCATCACTTCATGGGAAATAGATGGGGAAACAGTGGAAACAGTGTCAGACTTTATTTTTTTGGGCTCCAAAATCACTGCAGATGGTGATTGCAGCCATGAAATTAAAAGACGCTTACTCCTTGGAAGGAAAGTTATGACCAACCTAGATAGCATATTGAAGAGCAGAGACATTACTCTGCCAACAAAGGTCTGCCTGGTCAAGGCTATGGTTTTTCCAGTGGTCATGTATGGATGTGAGAGTTGGACTGTGAAGAAAGCTGAGTGCCAAAAAATGGATGCTTTTGAACTGTCGTGTTGGAGAAGATTCTTCAGAGTCCCTTGGACTGCAAGGAGATCCAACCAGTCCATGCTAAAGGAGATCAGTCCTGGGTGTTCATTGGAAGGACTGATTTGAAGCTGAAACTTCAATACTTTGGCCATCTTATGCGAAGAGTTGACTCATTGGAAAAGACCCTGATCCTGGAAGGGACTGGGGGCAGGAGGAGAAGGGGACGACAG